AGGCCTCAAATTATACCAAACAATATCAAAACCATGAATCGCACATCAATTCAAGCCTATTGTACTAATGAACTTTTAAACTTCTAAAACTCATGCCGAACTATACCAAACCAACCCGGAATGACCTCAAATTTTGCATGTAAGTTCCAAATGACATAACGGACCTATACCAACTCCCGAAACCATAATCCAGAATCGATATCAATAAAGTCAATTCTCGGTCAAATCTATCAACCTTCTAAACCTTCAATCTTCCAACTTTTGCTAAAAAGCATCAAATCAACCTACGGACTTCTAAATCCAAATCCGGACATACTCATAAGTCCAAAATCATCATACAAACCTATTGAAACTTTTAAATCTTGATTCTGAGGTCGTTTACTCAAAAGTCAAACCTTAGTCAACTCTTCCAACTTAAAGCTTCCGAATTTAGGAGAAGCCTACGATTGAGAATAGGATAGTTCTTCAAAAAACCCAAGCAGAATTGAAAAAATATCTAAGCTTAGAGGAGCAGTACTGGAAGCGGAAAGCAGGGATGACATGGTTTGCTGAAGGTGATAGAAACTCTAACTTTTTCCACAATTATGTTAATGGTAAAAGGCAGAAGTTGCAATTGAAATGGATACAAAATGCTGATGGCAACTGGCTAGAAGATCAGGAACATATGGCTAATGCTGCAATTGAGTTCTACTAGAAGCAGTTCACTACAGAATGGGATCCCACAGATTACTCTATGCTGGAGAACATACCTATAATGGTTACAATGGAGCAAAATTTAGAGCTGTGTAGATATCCAACACTAGATAAAGTTAAGGCTGCAGTTTTTGCACTTAGTGATAATAGTGCCAGTGGTCCTGATGGATTTACTGGACTATTCTATCAAGAGTGTTGGGATGTAATTTGCAATGACATACACAACATGGTTCTTCAATGTTATGTGGGTGCAACACTACCAAAGTTAATCACTTATACCAACTTGGTACTACTGCCTAAGAAGAACATGATTGAGACTTTCTTAGACTTAAGACCTATAAGTTTGAGTAACTTTATAAACAAGGTGTCGTCCAGGGTGATTTATGACAGACTACAAAGATTTCTACCTTCTCTAATCTCTCTTAATCAATCTGGATTTGTGAAGGGTAGGAACATATTTGAGAATATACTTCTTACACAGGAAATTGTCACTCACATAAGACTGAGAGGTAAGCCAGCTAATGTTGTCATTAAGCTGGATATGGCAAAGACTTACGATATGATATCTTGGAAGTATATGTTGCATGTATTAAGGAGAATGTGATTTGCAGAACACTTTATCACAATGCTGTGGAATTTGATCTTTAATAATTGGTATTCGGTCTTGGTGAATGACCAGACCACATGTTTCTTCAAATCAACAAGGGGAGTGAAGCAAGGAGATCCTTTATCTCCAACATTATTTATATTATTAGCTGAGGTACTATCTAGATCTTTGATTTGAGGATACAACTTTTAAGGGATTTGGTATGCCTAAATGGACTGATCTTTTGAATCACCTTGCATATGCTGATGATACAATAATATTTGCGTCAGCTCACCCCCCTTCATTGAACAAGATCATGGCAGTCCTTCATAGATATGAGCAGGTATCAGGCCAGTTGATCAACAAAGCTAAGATCTCATTTTACATGCATGATAATGTATCACGTGTAGTGTCTCAGGCAATGGGAGATATTACAGGATTTACCAGAGGATAATTCCCAGTCGTTTACTTAACGTGTCCTATTTTCTATGCTAGAAGAAGGAAGGAATATTATGCTGAGCTAGTGAAGAAAGTTAAGGCTAAGTTGCAGTCCTGGAAAGGAAAACTCCTATCGTTTGGAGGAAAAGCAACACTGATTAGTAGTGTGTTGCAAAGCATGCCTTTGTATCTACTATCAGTTCTTGACCCCCCTAAAAATATTATGGAACACTTACATCAGATCTTTGCAAGATTCTTTTGGAGTACTAAAGAGGAAGGAAGGAGTAGACATTGGACTTCTTGGCAAAACTTATGTCTTCCTAAAGAGTAGGGAGGACTAGGTTTCAGATCAATACATGATGTCTCAAGGGTACTTTTTGCTAAACTTTGGTGGAGATTTAGGACCACCAAAACTCTATGGTCTAACTTTATGTGGAACAAATACTGCAAAAAAATAATACATACTGTTATGCAATTCATACAAGGTTCTCATGTGTGGAGAAAAATGTTGAATGTTAGGGAAGAAGTAGAACATGAGATCCTTTGGGAATTGAAGAGTGGAACAACAAATATATGGCAAAAAAACTGGATATGTTTGGGTGCACTATATCATGTAGTGCCACCAGAATTCCCAATAAATGAGGAATTACAAGAGGTATCAAATTAAGGTAAGGAGGAGCATGGAATGAGCAGCTGCTGGAACAAAGTGTACCTGAAGATATTGCAGAACACATTAGACAACATTTCCACTATGAAGGCAGTGAGGAATACTGGGACAAATCACAATGGATGCCAAACTCTTCAGGCAAGTTTACTATTAGTAATGCCTGGCATTTCCTCAGACATAGAGAAATCCCTATTCCAGAATTCAAACACATGTGGATTAAAGGATTCCCATTCAAAATCTCATTTTTCTTGTAGATATTATGGAGAAATAAATTACCTACAGATGATATATGGAAAAGGAATGGATATATACAGGTATCAAGATCTTGGTGCTGCCAAAATCCACAGGAAGAGACCATTGATAATATTATAACGACCCGACTTGTCGTTTTAAGAATTAGTGTCCCGTTCAATGGCTTAAGACCTCGAGCATCTTCATAGTGTGTATTATGACTTGCGCGCGCGGTCGAGTTTGATTTTTTGATGATTCAAGATTTAATTGAAAGAACAATATATTCTTGTTTTGGAAGCTTAAATGAAAAGAGTTGACCGGAGTTTGACTTTTGTGTAAACGACCTCGTAATGGAACTTTGATGATTCCAATAGTTTTGTATGGTGATTTTGGACTTAGGCGTATGTCCGGAATTGGAGTTGGAAGTTCGTAGTATAATTCAGCTTATTTTGGCAAAATTAGAAAGTTGATATGTGCTCATTATATTATTCTGTGTGTAGACAAGGACTATTAATATGATGGATATCAATTGGATATGATAATAAGTGTACGAGGCATATTATAAGTGATGTGGGGTCTAAGGAGAGGACTCCATATAAGGAGTTATGTGATTTATGACCTATAAAATTAAAGCTTTTCGAGTCTAGTTTCTAACGCTTCAAACCGTTTGTCATTTGGACACTCCTACAAGAAGTTATAACCAAATTACTAAATGCTGGCATAATACAATTCTGCGGCCAATTCTGCGGTCCGCAGAAGTAGTTGTGCGACCACAAAATGGTCGCAAACTTGTCCAGTGAAGCCCATTTCTGGGCATCAGTTTGGCGGTGCAATGTGCGACCCGCATACCAATTGTGCGATCCATTATGCGACCGCAGACTTGAGTTCGGAGGGTTAATTTTCCTATTTTCATAACCCGACCCATTTTGATAAATAGCCTTTGGGGCTTATTTTGGGGTGTTAATCTGAGGGTTTTAGAGAGAAGTAAGAGCATTTTAGAGAGAGAAGGAGAGAATCTAACATTTGAATCATCCAATCTTGCACCAATCTTCAAGAATCAAGGAATCCAATCACATGATCTTCATCTAAGAGGTAAGATTCAAATCCCCAGTCTTCAATTTCAAGTTTTGGGTAACAAATGGGTGATTGAGAGTATGATTTTTGGATGTAAGAGTATTATGCATATATGCTTATACCAATAAGGTTTGTGGGAAGATTGTTGAGCTCAAATAAGTAAGGATTGGGTTGTGGAGTGAAGGAAATCTTGTAGAAGAATCTTGTAACCAAATTTGCACACCTAGTGTTTGATAAAATGCTCAAATGAGCTGAAACCATGCATATCTTCCTAATTATAGTTCACTTTTATTATGTTTATAAATAGATTGAAGTTGCTAGGATTTCTGGAACATTGTAGTAATGTAAGGAAAGCTCAAGAAAGATTAGAGCCGTCCGGAGGTCAATTCACATGAGAATGCTATTTTGGAATATCGGCCTTAACTCCGTTAAGGTAAGTGTCTTGTATAACTTTGTGTGGGGAAAACTACCCCTTAGGATTTGATATGATTGTGTCATTCATGTTATGTGAAGGTCGTGTACGTGAGTTGACGAGTGGGTACATGACCTATATGTGGTATTTGACCAGTTTGGACCGTTAGGCTCCTTTTATACACTTGTTTGTAAATATCGTGTCATGATTATATCTTTTGTTGTTAGAATTGTTTGTACATGCTTTACTTGAAATTTTTAGCACATATTCCATCCTTGTTGTCAAGTTTACCCTTATATGCTAATTGTTAATTGTAGTCACTTGTTGAATTACTGCTTTGTTTGTTACATGCCTTAATTATTAATTGATGCGTATAAAATATGCCTTGATTGTGGATTGTTATTACCTTTCTATTTGACTTCGTGAGCTATCATGTAGCTTTTTCATTAATTGTGACTTCTTCGTGTAGACTCGTTCTTCCTTTTGATTTTGTGGTACACCGTAATTAGTTGTTTAATTTGTGTTATTGGAGGAGCGGGTTGCACGCTGCAACTGGATTTTTTTTATGTTTATATTGTTGAAGCGGGTTGCAGATTCAGGTACCTCAGTGTTGTTGATAATCTTACTAATTGATCGGACATTATTGTGGAGACTTAAGGTATACCTGCTGTCACGTTCGCATGCCTCAAAGTCACCTTCTGATATTTTCCTGCACTGTTGATTTTATTATGGAACAATTGTATTTAGAAATTTTCTAGTAAACTCTGTAGAGCTTGTGACTTGTATTACCGGTTTTGGGATTGTAGGAAAATTTTCTATTTCATATTTATTCCAGATATTTGGTTGAATTATTATCATTTCAACTGAATTTTTTAAAAATGGCTAATATTATTCTAACGTTGGCTTGCCTAGCAAGTAAAATGTTAGGCGCCATCACGGTCCCGAAGGTGGGAATTTCGGGTCGTGGCAAGTATATTCCTAACTAGCCCCACTACTGACAAAGTTTGGAGGACATTCTTGGGGGCAGCAGGGATTAATATCTTACTGGTGCAGGTTAAACAAGTTATAAGGGCTTGGTGGAATGCAAAATGTTGTCCAAAACTGAATCCTTTGTTTAAGACAGCTCCAGCTATCATCACTTAGGAATTATGGAAGAAGAGAAACACAGGCAAAAATGGGGGATCAGTGTCTACTAATAGAGTCATACATAAAGTTAACAAGACTCTTCACTTCTTGGCAAGAGTTAGATATTCATGGTTATCCAATATACCATTACTATGGCCTGGCATGATCGAGGTTTTTGAAGAATATAGACCTATTCTGATCACTAGAAAAGTCACATGGCAGATGCCTTATGGAGGATGGTATAAATGTAACACTGATGGTGCTTCAAAAGGAAATCCGGGACATAGCTCAATTGAAATTTATGTGAGAGATGATGCATGTGATTTGATTCATGCAAGAGCAGTTGAAGTTGGCATCACTACCAATGTTGTAGCTAAAGCAAAGGCAATACTAGAAGGTCTGGAATACTGTGTTGAACAAGATCTACATCCCCTCATATTGGAGACAGACTCCTTGGTTTTGAAGAAGGTGATAGAAGGGGAATGGGATCCACCTTGGTGCTTAGGTGCAGAAGTACAGAAGATCAAGGAGATAAGGAATCGTTTCAGTATGATCTTCCAACACGTGTTCAGAGAGGGCAATACAATGGCTGATTTCTTAGCTAACATGGTGTTTTCTTTTGCAGTTAATCTTCAGTTTAACAACTTTTATGAATTGCCTACTGCAGGAAGGAGACTGATCAACAAGGACAAATCTCAAATCTCTAATCTAAGAGTAAGGATAGCAAAGAGAAAAGCACCTGATTGATGGATAGCAACGTTAATAAAATGACAGATGTTGCTTCATGCTTATTCACTTATGCCTCTGTGTCTCAATAAGACATCTCTCAGTGGTATTAGCTAAGCTCATTCTGGTGGTGTCTTATTGAGATATGGAAAAACTCAAATAAGAAGGCAAATGAGTTTTTGTCATAAAAAAAACATTATGCTCCATTCCAATGTGACTGCATACTGGAATTCAATGTTCTACAGTCCACATATAGCATTACAATTGCTGCAGAGTTATGATTCTGGAACACGACTATTGTTAGGCTGCATTAGGAAGCTCGGGAAATCAAATTGCAAGATCTTTACAAGGCATTCTAACAGAATGCAAGGATGGCTGCTAAGAATCTTGAAATTCAACAACATGACAACACAGGTGGGCAAACAGTGCTGTGATATTTGGACAAACAATACACGTGGTCAGGTAATTAATCTCTCTGTCGGGATGTACAGTGTAATCCTATATGGCATCATGAGTTCAATTGATATTAGTAAAGATTCTGGGTATTGGACTGTAATGGGCAAACAAGTCTATTATATTACTCAAGAATTATACAAAATGTGCAAACGTGTTCTTGGGTGTATATGGTACAGCAAAACCAAATCAACAGTTAATTTGGCTCCTGATAGTGAAGAATCTTTCACGGCTACATCTGATGAACATCCTACCAAGATGCATGGTTTATTTTAGATATTACGACATTTTCTTTGTTCTGGGGTGGCAGATTTGAACTGAAAAAGAGCATATCGAGACAAATAGCTGATCACAAATAGTGGATGTTGAAGGGTCGAAACTGGAAAGAAACATCTTCCAATGCTGCGAGTGAGCACATATGTGATATTACAGATTAAAGAGCAGATCACACGTCTTCAGAACGATCCCATTTTGGTACTACTTCTCACATTTCTTTTGTCCAGTGGTATTAGTGTGGTTGCATACTCATTCTGGAGATGAGAAAATACTATATTGTACACATTCTTCAAGCGAGCAGTGTTTGTTTTATCCAAATGATCTTATTAGCCCCATGACTGACTACAAAGAAAAAAGGAATACATCATTGAGGAGGTCATGCTATACATGGATTTATCAGATTTGGATAGCTTCAGTGCAACGGTAAGACTGGCTGGAGTCCATACTTGCCTTGTCCATTGGAATCTTGTCCTATGGAATGCATAACTTGGTGCCTGATGTGAACTTTGGAGGTGCTACTGTTTGGTTGTTGCTCTTGGCTGTTGGATCACTAGCACTACTTTTTCCTGGAAGCATATATCCCATATCATTGTAATAGCTAGCTTATTATTTCTAGTCTTACTATTAGATACTAGAAGCTTTCATTTATTACATTGTCTTGAAAATCTTGTAATTTTGGACCCCTTTTTTTGGGTTATATATATATATATATATTAGCCACTAAAAAAAAACTTCCCAAAATTCAACTCCGACCAACCGTACAAGTTATAAAACATGAAGTGGAGTTACCCAAGGCCTCAAACCACCGAAAGATGTGCTAAAGCTCAAAACGACCGGTCGGGTTGTTACATTCTCCCCTACTTAAATATACGTTCGTCCTCGAACATGCCAAGAACTGCTCTGGAGTTGTCCAAAATCACTGTTTAACACCTCATGTACCTACCCGTGCCACAACAACTCATGTGAGCGTATTAGCTGGAGCCAGACTGAAGATCCTTCCTATAACCTTAGCGAACAAGCTTCAGAACCAAATTCCAACATCCAGAATTCTCCACGAGACCCAATTCTAACATAAGAACACTACATCAATCACCACACACTGTACCAAATACTATCATGCTACTCCGCTGAAATCACACCATGCACTACATAAGTCGTTTGACCATAAAAGCATCCTCCGACCACAATAGCTGAAGTTTCACGAATCTGATGCTCGCAGTACACCTCATAACACATATAAGCTCTGTTCCAACTCTCGCAATACTGCCACGATGAAAGAGATGTGTAAAAACTCATAACCACCTACCGAATCAATAAATCATTGAGTCTCTCATCCTGACAAGAACAATTACCTCATTATGAATTGAATAACGATAGTTTCTCTTTAAAATACCCAACATAACTCCGATCGCACTGATCTAAGGCCCAATAATCTCGTCTCACCCATACAAGCTGCTTGGGCAATAAACCACCTCAAACAACGTCTAAAATCTCATACGATGCCATTAAAGCACCAACACGCTTCAACCCGAGTATGACCCATAAGGAAGAACGAACTCTGGCAAAGAACCATCCAACCCGCGTAACTAATAACACGGCCAAACAGATGTTATTAACCTATCTTATAGATGAGAAACAAGGCACACAAAATAAGTTTAAGGGACCATACTCAACATCTCACTGTTGCGGCATGCAACCCGATCCATACATGATACCGTTACGGCTTACTACCCAATCCGAATGTGATATTGTTGTGGTGCGCAATCCGATCCACAAAACATACCCTTGGTGGCGTGCCACCTGATCCAAATAATGTACCCGTGGCGGCGTGCCACCCAATCCACACATAACAATCAATAAGGAAAGACCCATCAAGCCGAAATGCTTATACTTACGAAATGTCCAAATGTCGGCCACAAGCACGCCAAGTGCTTAATACAATTTTGGGGAGACGGATAACACCATACGCTACAAAAACCCAAGCACAATTAAGGTGAAATAAATGACCTGTATCTCGAGAGCCATCTTGCTCATACAACACCACAAGCTACACATGATCACAATACATGTGCAAATAATCAAGGCTTTTGGACAACGCACATGGCATAATATAGTATTACATAGGATAGTTGACGAGATGAATAATATCTAACACCCGAAGACTCCTCCACAAACAGTGCTATGCTGAATGAAAACATATGACCTAACGTAGAGCATACATTCACTTTAGGTCCACCAATGGACCTCAAGCCGATTCTGATCATACCATATTGGGATAACATCCTTTCAAGGATCCACAATGACCATATTCATGACACACACGAGCAGTCGTCCAATTTGGACCAAACTTCCATAGTCCACAACCAAATGAATAGAGCACCTTTCAGGCATAAACTTCTCACATTAGCGATAGTACCCGAATCTACATACTTGGTTTCAACCCTTAACAATCAAGTGGCTAATATGTCACACTTATACAAATTTTTCCGTGGGATACGCTCCCACGACCTTCCGCACTAGGAAGCGAAGTCTGCACCTCCATATCACCAATCGTACTAATTTTGTAAAGCAAATCAAGAATCCGCAAATCGATACACATGCCCCTTACCCCGGACACCATTCTCAGGTGATACTGAAGAAAATGCCATCTTACTCTGAACATATGAATTCTTCCCTGCTAATCCGATCTCATGACATTCTTATCAACACCGAGTCACAACCTTGATCCTCAACTTCCAATTCCTATGCCGCTTACTACGCCTAACATGTCGTTACGCAAGAGTACAAGAATTCATTATAACCCCTGAACTACAAGTAGAATAAGTACTTCATTGGCTAGAAACCTTCCACTTAACTCATTTCAGAAGAACAATTGCAACACGCAACTGAATTCCTATAATCGCAGAAAATACAAACATCAAGTTGTGGTCTAAACTGCCATAACTCTTCTGGAATCCGCTTACATATAGCAATGCCATAGGAATCGAATACCTCCCAAATCCAACAAGTTATGGGGGCTGTCAAGCCTGCACGTACAACCACAAACCACTTGTATAACTTAACACGCCGAAGGAACTGATCATTGCCACAAACACATTGATTCAAACTATTACTAATCGTCCCAACTTCTTCCAATTTACTCTTGACTTGCCTTAGATATAATAATAGCTCCATTCAAAATAAAATATAACAAATTCAATCAGCACTCATCCTGAGTGACCGGAATCACGAGACCACATCGTCTCAATACCCATGAACCATCTCATCCACCCTTTATGCGCACAATAACATCTCCAACGGGTACCCCTATTCTGAAAGATCCTCTACGAATACGAAGTTATTTTCTTCCATCTCTGTAACATCGTACCGCAGACCTCCAGTGCCAACATAGAAACACTCCAAGTCCTTTTTATAATCCACTGTAAAAACTCGATCCTTAGCCACACAACGGACCCAAAATCCTTAGATGTTGTACTTTAATTCTTAAACCTACTTGAACCCTAGTTGAGAGTCACCTACTTTAACCTGGTCCCAAATATAACTAATTTCAACGCTCTGTCAGCACATGAACACTCTCTCAAAGAAGCAACCAAATAAATTCTTTCCCTTATGCATCACATCCACAATAAGCATAAGCTCTAAGTCTTCCCAAAACTTGCACAAGCAGACAACCGCGCGACCCAATTGTAGACGGTGGGCTCCCCCACTTAGCTTTAAGATACAATCACATAAATGTCAAACCCACAAAGATTCCTCCTTCTCAATTACCATGATCTCGCACCGTTAATCCACCATATTTCTCGAAATCTCTTGTTAAACTTTTCATGAACATTCCGAATTATCAGCCACAATCGCATATTCGACCTTCTGCCCGGTAGTAAGTAGAACTCTTCGTAGAAACTTCATCAAAATTACGCAACCGCTAACCTTTTCACAGGAGATAACCCACCTGTGAAATTCCATACCGACATCTTCCAATGACACTGCACTTGTTACCACTACTACGAAATCAATAGAACCTTTTGACCATCATTGCTTCTGGATGTTTGGTACGGTAGTTCATATAACCATCATTGCTTCACTCTGTAAATCCTATTTTATACTAATTAGTTAATGGAAATTTTGATTTCATAGGTAATAAAGATGGGTAATTGAATTAGTAAATTACCGTTGGCTTGTCTGACGGCGGCGTTAGGAGCCATCACGATCTACAGTGGATTTTGGGTCGTGACAGTTCTATTGGGGGTTGCTAATGTTAATCGTCTACTCTTGTTTGTACAATAGTTTGATAACTAGACAGTCCATTAATCTGGTCTATTTTACAT